AAAATGTGTTATCGGTACTGTATAAAAAGTGTTGCGCGACCCATAAAAAAAACCCTTGCCACCACAGCATAAAAAGACCACAAGCTCCAGGGTTAAAACCCAATTGAAACTTAAGTTAACTCTTCAACAACGCTTAGGCCTAGCCTTTATTGAAGATAGGGCCTACCATTAAAAGGCCAATACCCTATACCAGAATCCTTCCAATCTAAGTAAACGAGCAGCTAACTTAATTCCAGCTAAGTTTATCTGATGAGGTTAGGCCTAGGCCTACTGCATTTTAAAAAGAAAGCTACATGTTTAGAGATTGCAAAATTTCTCAATAAGTTATAAGTTATTATGTCAAGATAGATTCCCTATATTTGGGAAATGTACTGATGACCAACCTAAAATATTGAATAGGCTTATTCCTATAGGCTCATAATCAAGATCAGATGTAGGCTATTGGACATCTTTTCAAGGGGAAAAAAGCAGTGTGCAAGCAAAACAAACATCGTGTTTTAATCATAAACCATATAGTTTTAACCTCTAATCTTTATCAAGTAGCCAAGCTGATGCCCAAGGTTATCAAGCAGCTGGCAAAGGCGCTCGGAGGACAGTTTTAAGGGCTAAACCGTTATATTTTTTAGAGGTTGGGAAAAGGCCCTATGGGTTTTCTGATTGTGACTAAGCTACCGATAGTCTGTGTTATCATTAAAATAGATTTTGGATTGGGCCTACATGAGTCCGTCTACAACTCATCGATTACTGACTCATTGCTAGAGGTTTCTTTTTGCTCAGTTTTCCAACTTAAACTGCCTTATTTAAATTCTTTAAATAGTTGCATATCCTCAAACCTGGCCAATTAACAATGATAGGTATATGTGAATAAATTTAAGCAAGATACAAATAGGCTACAATAAAATTATACCAATCTTTATTATTGTATTTAAACACAATTCCACTCAGAGCATTATACCATTGACTATATATACCTACACACACCGGTAACTTAGTTTGATATGTAGTGCAAACTAACAACAATAGCCTAGAAATGATGATAAATAATAGACATGTAGGCCTACAGTTTTTGCCGCCAAGCCTAATTTATTAAAAAACCAAATGCAATTTATTTTATGGCAGTTTTATCTTTTGACAATCTATGGACAGGGCTATTAAGATTGGATTTGCCTCTTGTATTGTAAGGATGTATATTCTATCAAAGTGAATTTAAGGTTTGGAGTGTATGGAGTGAGAACTGTTATGGTCTTATTGTATTGATGTATGGTTTAGATCTTAAATCTCTCAGATAGGATACAATTTGTAGAAATAAGTCATTATTTTAATAATTCAAAACCTAACTTACATTGAGAGTGTTCAAGCTTATTAAACGTAAAATATGGAGTCCCCCAAAAATCAATTTTAAATTCCTTGTTATACCTCTGTTACCTGAAGGGTCTGCCAGTGGCAATATTGGCCAAGAACGATAACATCTCTCTATGCCAATACTACCAATATGATTGCGACTGCCAATAATAAAGAAAACGTACTTAAATTGCATCTCATATAGGCCTAAAAACTTATCATTGATAAACAATTTTTATATTGGCCTACCTAATAAAAATCTCTTGCTAAATAAAAAAAATAGTTTTGTAACATTCACAACTAAACAGGCTAAGCAAAAATTAAATCCCACAATATTCATTAAAAAAAACTTATAAGCTTAAACATTCAATCAGAGAAACAACAATTTTTGAATATTCATTGGTGAAAACTTTTATGGAATGATGAAACGACCATGTAGGGCCTACTGGTAAATCTTGTCGTTCGTAAAACATTGAGTGATTTTTATGCTCTCCGGAAAATGGTTTGCAGTAGGGAAAACAAAAAAAAATTACTTTGACTTAATCCACTCACATATAGATGATCACACGTTGATCTATGGGTCAACTGCTAAATTAAATATGGACAGAATATTACTCCCAACCAAAAAGGGCGTCAACGGTAATTTTGAATCTAAAAAATAAATCTGATTTTAAGTTAAAAATTATTTTTTCAACTTGAAAATGTTCACTGTTTGCAGTCTCTTTATTTTTGAAACAATGTAATTGGTATCTAACAATAAACTTACACTGGTAATACTGTCCTTAACGCTTGGGCCCTACTTATTTGATACTTAAATACTGCATCGGTGACCGACAAAGTCAGAAAAGATTGTGTCGCTTATAGGAAAAAATTTAAATATAAAAACTGTAGGGTAACTACGATGGCGGGGATTGCAAAAAAGTGGTGTGTCATCCAGTTCACTTAATGAACACGGTACAGAGGTCTGCCCACCAAATTAATAGTCCCTCAGTGTAGTATCTTTAAAGGCCCTTATCTAGTCCTAATAGTCTAGCTCGCACACTTCAACTGGGAGCGTGTTATAGAGCTTAAACACAAGACCCCATAGATTGGTTGAGCAGCATAAATTACAGCTTTTTAAAAAGATAATCACTTAACTTATAAATATATTTTGACCTTTTGCCACAAAATATCAAACTTTAAGAAAGATATAAAGTAATACCCAAAGGTTTTTAAATTTTAACAAAAACAATTCTGATTTACAGTACTGCTCTTCTCCATCGAGGAGTTTTGTTCTTAATTCTTTTAAAGGCTCTGTGTATAATGTTGTTATTTTACATTATTTATTTTTAGCCTCCTTTATTAACTTAATTTTAGTTCTGATGACTATTTCTTGTAACAATGTGTACATATAATGAAATATATGTATTTTGATGTAATTGATTGAATTGTATTTAGATTACAGAGAGTTGTCACAGATTATTGTAAAAAGAAATGAGTAACATCGCAGCTAACTTATACAGTAACGGTACATAATGTAAACCGATTTTATTATTAAAAGAAACATAGTTACATATTTTAAATATTACAACTGATCTTTATTTTAAGAAAAAATTGTGACATTCAGAATAATGAAAATGATCAAACCTCATAACCAACAAAATCCAACAATAATTAGGTTAATTTGCTATATCTAGAGTTAAAAAAAATTACAATCAAATAAGGGGGGAATGTTTTGGTTCATCTGTTTATTGAAGAAACAAATGAACTAGGCCTATGTGATAAATAATGTTTTAAAGAGTAAACATCTCAAGTGATTCACACTTCCCCTAGACAGTTTTGGGGTTGGTAATTAGTGAAATTAACCAGCTAATCACTTCCTGGCTACACATATTCAGATCACTTAGAGTGGATGGTTCAGTTAGTCAGGGTAGTCTGTCTGGCCTTTTGTTCTGGAGATTAGTCCAAGGTGCAACTCAGGGGAATTCCATTTGTTCACTCAAGAGTGATAATCTTTGAAATCTGGTAGGTTGTTTATTTATAGGTTATTCATATTTAGAATTTCCTGATCTTGTCCAATGGAACTTTCATTAAACTTAGTTACTTAATTTTTTTAAAAAGTATTACAAGTTTTCCACAACATATTAATATATGTACAAACCTTGTACAAGCTATTTTAAAATATTTCAATTGTGACCTAAATATTTGTAAATGTAAGGAATTTTATAATTCTCAACCACCAAATTAAAATTTCAGTTACAATAATCTCATTAATATTAAAGATCATTTAAATACTAGGCTACATAGGCCTAATTATATTTTTTCAAGTTTTTCTGGAAAGTTTTAGGAAAATTTTTATTTGCAATCATTTTGCTAGAAAAAATGTTTAGGAAGTAGTTTAGGCTAAACATGTGTTTAACTTCTTGCACTAAAAACTTCTTCCTCCCCCTACACTTATAGCCTATGGAGGAAGTATTGTTTGATCATCAAAATCTTTGAGTTTGTGTTTTGGGTGGATACATCCGCTTTGGGCTCCCCTGAACCCAAAATAGTGGTTATCTGTGTGTGTCTGTGGATGTTTACTGATGTTTACAGATTTTGATTTGTAATAGTGATTTCCCCATCTATCTATCTATCTATATATTAATAGGCAAGCATGTTTCTTTAAAACCTTTTTTCTCAGCTCGTGTGCATCGTAGGTAAAATCTACGCATACCGTTAGAAAGCTATTTTCCTCTAGGTGTGCAGAATCCCTTTATAAATTTAAATAGGCTCAAAGATAAGCACGAAAAATGAGTTTAAAAATTTGAAAAAATTAACATGGATCTTATGCGTTGCCATGGTGACGAAATAACAACGAAATATTAACAGAAAATCAAAACAAATGGAAGAAACTCCAATCACATGTTTTATTTACAGTGTGGGGTGAAAATAGATAAGTGAGTACAGTACATTAGATATTTTTGGTCGAGTTTCGACCACTGGACGACCTCTCGTAACAATAAAAATAATAACAGAAATATCAGATTTAAAAAACTGGCTCTACTGATTTTGATGAAAATTAAGTATGTTTTAGTCTTATGAAAAAAAATTTCAACCCTTTTAATTCCTGTAAAAATTAAGGTTAAAAAATTATTGAAACTTTTGTGATTTCCCCTTAAAATATCATAACTCTCACCACTTTTAACATGATAAGGGTTGTTGACAAGCTAATGGAAGAAAGTAACTTGCGTATCAGATCTAGCTGATACTGTTTAATTAGTTTAAAATTAAAAGTAATATGATAAGGCTTTGGGTTATGTTAAACATATTTATATCAGTTATAAACATTATTTTTAAATCTTGTAGTCAATAAACATTGGTCAGTGACCGTTTGTTAGGTACTCTTAACAGATTTCTAGAAATGTTTTCAAATATTAGGCTATCTTTTCAGTTGGGTTAACCTGTTTAGGCAAGACAACATTCCTAGTGGCAATTCACTTTGTGTTATCACTGATTTTTATCTTAAAACTCAGGGATGACTAACTTACTTCTTGGACTTCGACCTCAAACAAACAATCAACCTATGATGAACAGAACTTAGTCAGAAGCTGGTGGGGTGGGACTGTGAATAGTTGGGGAAAAGACAGTCCAGTTAACTTGGAATTTTAAAACAAAATTGTGATAAAAAGTGATTTTAGTTTTTGAAAACTAAAATTGTAAGTAGCCTATCTCTTTTATTAATGCTAAAATGTATCATAGAGCCAATTTCCGAGAATTTTGGTTGGGATAAAGCAACTGGTTTATTTAATATTTTGGCACAAAAAAACATCAACTTTAGGCTAAACACGAAAATCGTAAGATTTAATCTTAAGGCCTAATACGGAGTTTTCAACCAAAAGTAAGGTTTTAGTTGGATAGAATGATGATCTTTAGGTTGATAGGTGTGGTAACTAAACTTATGACATCAAAACATTTGGAATAAACTTGTGTGTTAGACCTGTAACTGATAAATATTTTACCCTGCAATACAAAATTTACTTTTGGATAGTGTAAGTTTTACTGCTAAATTAAAACTTTTTTTAACTGCATTTTTCAAGTAGTCTATTATTTTATGTGGTAAGTTGTACAATTTTGGGGATGAGGACAAAAACACTAGCCTATCTATTAAGTAATCAACACTTTTGACTGTTATGTAGAAGAAGTTACCTCTGAATAATATTTTATTGTATCAGGTTAGTGTTTTTAATATCTAGTAGTAGACCTATTGAATTTAATTATCTAGTCCCAGTAGTGTGCAAAGTTAGGCCTTTAGATACCTACAACTTTATAGTAAACATGTAAACCTGAATCATAACATTTACCATAAACTCTGATCCATGCAAGTAGATTTTTCATTTAATTGTAAAATCTAAAGCCTGTTTTATGTTTGTTTTATTAAGTGTTGGCCTGTTAACTGATGTCAATTAAATGTTTCCATTTCAATTTAAGATAGATTTTAATATTTGAACTATATCCTATTGTTTGTGGATGTATTGATTTATTTGGTTAACATTGTTTTAAAATCAGTTAAATACCAAGAAACAAATAGTAAGACCATTACAATCCAGATGGATGCAAATTCAATCTTAGAATTAATTGTCTTCAGTTCTTTCCTAAGGAATGATTTATAAATAAAGAAGTGTGTGTTTAATATATGATACATTTTGCGTGATAAGTTAAATACCCCTGCCGCAACAAAACTGTAGACTTAGCTTCTTAGCGTAGCGAATTCCCATTTGCCTGATTGGATTTTCACATATTCTTTAACTTGTCAGATATTTACAGGGTGATTAAAAAAGAATACCGTAACTTTAAAAGTGTTTTTAATTAAAGAACATAATGGAACCCTTTTTGTTATACATCATTACAAACTTATGCATCTCTAAACTCGTTTTTGTGTAAAAAAAACTTTTAAATACTCTTTGTAATGATGTACAACAGAAGGTTCTATAAAGCCCCCCATACACTATCGAACATGCCACCCGACCTGACAACCTGACCTGACGACGGACCCATCATCCAACCTGACTTATGTCGGGTGTTTCCCACACACTATCGAGCATGTTACCCAACAAGTCAGGTGAAATATTAGTTCTGAGATGGATTTTGAGACGACTGTTAGCTGTTTCAGGTGGATTTTTTAGCGATGATTTTAGGGATTTTTTGAGCCTATGGAACTAGGCTCTTAAATTTTCAATTTCATTTTTAACGAACTTTAAATCACACTCTGGATACAGTTCCTTGCACTTTTCCATCAGGATATCGTGCCCCTATGTGCATGTTTGTTGTAATAGAGTTTACTTTTGACAGCCCACAACGCCTTCTGGTCTCTGTAGAGTTAAATAAATTCTGACCAGAACTGTTTATTATTTTATTAAATGAAATTATGGAAAAATGGGACGGTTACACATCACGCACAACTCGCTAAATACAAGTTTACTGGAAACTGTGGCTAGGCGGGCGAGCAGTTCGACGGTTTCCCACCACACGGTCCAACATGTCAGGCGGACGGCTCGAGTCGGGTGGTGCTATCGGACCGAGCATCCGACCTGACATATCCGTCGAGCATGTCGGGTCGGAACCCACACACTGTCCAATATGTTCGACAAGACGTCGGATCCCGACATGTCCGTCCAACATGTTGGATAGTGTATGGGGGGCTTTATGTTACTTTCATTAAATACACATTTTTAAAGTTGTGGTATTTTTTTTTAAATCAACCTGTATTATTAGGTTTAACGAGTAATCCTACTTAGGGCTGCTTCTACAGTGAGGGTAGTAAAATTTGATTATTTTGTTGTAAAATATTAATAGCTCAGTATAAAATAAATAAATTTGCCAAGTTTGATCAAAATATATCTATAAATAAGTAAACTACAACAATTTACTTATTCTCCGTAAGAATAACATGGGAATTTAGAATTAAAATTTGTTTGAATTTTCTTTGTAAACCAATAACCGTACCAAAAGCACTTCACCATACTAAATTATTTGTTTTTTTAAACTTTACAAAATGTGTTGTGGAGTGAAATTGAGAAATTATGTTTTGAGGGTAAAAAATTAGAAAACCCAATTTTTACCGCAATCAAACCCCGTTCCCATGGTGTCATCATGTTATTTTCAAGCTGATTCAAATTAGGTGCGTTTTCATTCAATTGCATCAAGATCAGATGACTTTTGCCCGAGTTATCGTGCTAACATATATATATATATGGACCAGATGGCAGATGGTCTCTCTTTTGGCCTCTAGGGACATCAAAATTAAAAAGTAAATCGGGCCCGGGTCCAGATCTTACTATGAGAGCTATGGTAATTTATCTTATCCCCTATATGAGAAACTAGCTAAAACTCAAGCTGTATTGTTAAATAATTAACATTACATTATTATGCAAAATACAAGATCTTATAAGTATAAAAGAGGATGTTTGTATATTTATTTGGCAGTGATAAACTCAGACACCGCTGAACCGATTGCCACGAAACTTGGTACATACGTGTAGAATTTCATGGAGTAGGTTTATACACCATCAATTTCGTGATCCGTCCAATCGGCTCGGCCCCAGTGGCTCTGGAGTTTCCCATGTTAACCTTGGCAGAATGGTGACCAACCTAACAGAGAAACCACAATAGCCAGCAGTGCTGGCCGTACGACCTGAGAATGCCTCTCAGGTGCTGCGTGAACAATGACCAGCTGACTCAGAAACAGCTGTGGCCAGCACTGCCGGCCATTCGAGGGCAAAGGGTTAACATATATCCATATACCTTAAATGGGAACTATGTACTAGGCCTATGTTTTGGTGGGTGAACAGGACATAGTCTTATATGTAGTAGATCTATATTGCAGTTTTAGTTTAGAAAATGAATAACTAACCAATAATGAATACGAGAGGTCGTCCAGTGGTCGAAACTCGACCAAAAATATGTAATGTACTCACTTATCTATTTTCACCCCACACTGTAAATAAAACATGTGATTGGAGTTTCCTCCATTTGTTTTGATTTTCTGTTTATATTTCGTTGTTATTTCGTAACCAGCATAGCAACGCATAAGATCCATGTTAATTTTTTCAAATTTTTAAACTCATTTTTTGTGCTTATCTTTGAGCCTATTTAAATTTATAAAGGGATTCTGCACACCTACAGGAAAATAGCTTTCCAACGGTATGCGTAGATTTTCCCTACGATTCACACGAGCTGAGAAAAAAGGTTTTAAAGAAACATGCTTGCCTATTAATATATAGATAAATAAGTAACCAAATGTGTTAAATAAGTACTGGATTAATAAATTAGTCATGTTTCTAAACAAAAAGATTTTTGCAGAAAAAAATCATAATGGATACAGATTGTGAAATGGATCGACAGTTTGCCAAGAGACTGCGCAGACAGCAGATGTGTTCGCCCAAATCCATAGTTCTGCGTGAGTCTGCCAACACAACTCCCACAACACCCACGCAGACTATCATAACAGACTCGGAACAGATGAATTGCGAGGAAGACACAATTAAATATACTGAGACTGTGGTACGTAGTTAACCTTAGGCTTAGATCACAGAAATAGGTGTCTGGTGTCTTGTAGATATGAAATATTCCCTATGCCAGGAGTTGCTTATTAGATTTTGGATGGCAATCCATATGACTAACTCACACACATCGCTTTGTCCATAGCCCCGCAAACAACAAATTCACGACCCGCTTTTGTGCGCTTTTCAGTGCACAAAGCTTTTAATCCCCCTCTTTATTTCGTACAGTACCGTACTGAATTTCTGCACTCAAAATGTGTGGTTTTGAAACATATTCATTTCAATTAGTATTAATTTTTAATGGTACAGACTTATTCTAGTTGGAACAAGAGTACTGTTTCTGTAGTAGGGACCAAACATTGTAATTTGTTGTAAAATATTCTAAGCATTCTTAGATTATATATGGTAAAATGCAAAAAAAATAATTAAATAATGCATAAATTTCATAGTTATTTAATATTTATTTGTGTATAGGAAGTGACAGTGCGCAAGTCTCATGTGCAGAGATGGCTGTTCCCACCCACTGACGACACACCCCCCTGCAGCCAGGAAGAGAAACAGAATGAACTAGACACAGAGAACAACCCTATAGAATATCCAATCACCCCCTCTCCTACCATCTCGCCCTGTGTCACTCCACAGAAAGTGCACATATTGGAAGAAAGGCTACGGACACCAGTCATTGTAAGTGCCACATTATAAAAATACAATATTTTTAAATTTAGTTTGCCATCTTAATAACTTCTTGACAGTTTCCGATTGGCCCTGACGATGACCTGTGGTTAAAATCGACAGCCGTTGTAACATAAACATATTTCATGCTTTTGGCTTTTAAGGTGATAGTTGCAGACAAATGGTCTGCAAATGTCCCTTTTTTCTCAACCTTAAGAGCTTTTTCAATAAACCTTAGAAGAAACCTCCTTGGTTTAAAATGCTGTCAGTGACAATGGGTTTGTCTTACTTTTGAGTAACTTACCTATAGTATGAAGTAGCCTATTATGTGTTTCTTGTGCCAGATTACACTTTTTCCAAATCAAGTAAGCCTGCAATTCTAACAAAAACCCTAATAACCTTGGCCCTTCTGCTCTATGCCCTACACATTCTCAACCTCAAACTGAAACTGCAAATAATTACTTAAAAACAGGTATATTTACCTTTGTCTATAGCTCAAACTGTTTTAACTTGCGTTACGGCCGACATCCAGTTCAGATCATGTCAACAGGTACCTTGTGTGCGACAGGCCTGTTTGTATTTTCGTTAAATGTAAAATGTTAGTCCGTGTTCGTGTTATGTGTTTCTACGATGCTGCTTTAGCTGAATCTTCTGTCTGATGATAGCATTATAATGCTGTAACGCAAGTTACAACAGTTTAAGCTGTAGACAAAGGTAAATACCTAGTTTTTATCATACCACAGCTCAGGGGCTAAAACATGGATTTAATTAAATAATTACTGATGGACTTGGCTGTTCCAGGTTCCTCCGCCATTGTTTAAGATGTCCAACAAGAACTCAGTGAATGTGTCGGCCGACCGCTACATTCCTGCCAGGTCACCTCACAATTGGCATACTCGCTTCTCAATGATACCTGTAAGTAGAATACTTACATACTACATATAGTACTCAAACAAATTGCCAAACATTGTACAGCAAAATAAAGAACAGAACAACAGAAAGTCTAGTAAGCTACTGCTAGTCATATGCTACTGCTACGCTGTTTCAGGACAGAAGAATGTTGATAAAAACATTAGATAGCACATAAAAAAAGTATAAAATAATAGTAGCCTACTTAGGTCCGTTTTTTACCCTGTCAGCGCCCTAGGCAAAACTAATAGTAGCGCCCCTTTGTAATATATAATACAGGGTCTCCACCGACCGGGGAAACCAGGAATTCGGGGAATTATGTGTGAGTTTTTGAACCGGGAATAGTGCTTGAATTTTGTATTTCTACCAGGAATTATTAATTTACCGCGATCGCGCATGCCAACAGTGACGTATCCGTGACCGCGGAAGAGATACACACGGCCGCAAGGGATGATCAGAGTTTTGACACGATTGCTGAAGACAATGATAATGTCTACACAAGCACGGGATTTGATCATGATTTTGCTGCGATCGCGCAAAGCGTTGTTTATATCCACGGAGCAGCGAGGGATGATCATAATATTGCTGCGATTACGGAAGTTTATGACGGAAGATTACGATAATGTCCACACGACCGCATGAAACAGTCAGAATTTTGCCACGATCGTGGAAAAAGATTATGATCTCCATACGACCGAGGGAGATGATTGACATTTTGCCGCTTTGCCACAATCAGGGGAGACGTTTTAATATGTCCACAGTAAGCCTCTTCACAGCCGCGAAGGATGTTCAGAATTTGACCACGATCGCTCAAGACGATGATATATCCACACAACCGCAAGAAAAGATAATAATTTTGCCTCCATCTGTGGTAGACAGTGAAAATCTCCTCACAACCGCTGGATGTGTTCATATATTGCCACGATCATGGAAGACAATAATTATGTCTACACAACCACGGGAAATAGTCAGAATTTTTCCGCGGTCGCGGCAAATTTCTAAAAAATTCGCGACAAAAACTACCGTGGTAGTTAAATAAATAACACGTTGCCGCAATCGTGGGAGTCAATGACTTAACTGCGGCAAAGGACTATCAGAAGTTTAACGCGATCTCTTGCAAATACAACCACCAATTTCTTTCTATTTTCTAATTTTTTGGCGCCCCCCGAAAAAAACTTATTAACTCGCGCCCTAAGCACGTGCCTACCGTGCCTATTCGGTAATCGGCCCTGAGCCTACTTATAGCATAACAACAGTCGTAAAATAAACCGATAAAGATAACAATGACATAAAAACATTGCTTATGTTATTCTTTCTCTTTGTTCTTCTATTCTTTCTTAAGTTTCTCTTCATACTACCATTCAACAAGTTGCCATGGTTACTAAACACCCAATCACAGGCTACTAAAGTTGTCATGATTACTAAATACCCAATAACAAAATGTTGTGACATAGCAAGCGCACAGCAGACAGATGAGTCATGTGTAGGCCTAAGGAGCAGACGATTGTCAGTGTAAACGGATATCTTGACCTTGAAGCTTTGATCGGCATTTCTTTGTTTTGCTTCCATTTTATTTTTGTCAAATGAACTCTGATTTTCCAAAAACAATAATGTGGGAGCCTACTTAATATTAATAATGGGCAGACATTGTTAAATATACAACGAATTTCAACACATTACACTAAAAAAAACACAATTTATAAAGTTTTCTGGGTATTTTTCTTGGACAATGAGGTTATGTTAGCGGAAGCCCATGGTGTTGGCGGCACGGCGGCACGGTCGGACCAAGCGAGGAGTCCGAACACTAGAGGTCGGATTAGCGAGGTTCTACTGTAGGACTAGGGATGGGCCGATTCCGATTCTCGATACCTCGATACCTTCGATACCAGTGGTATCGAAGAATCGCCGATACTCGATACTTTGCTTCATTGTACTCGATACCGATTCTGAAAAGTGAGGTTAATTAATAATGCTAAACTCAACTGACATTGAAGGTTGTAAAGAGTGGCACATCATAGTTTATTTGAAATACTCTGAAGTCAGCTAATATAAATAATTCCAAGTTCATTATCTCACATTCGTAATAGTTTTATAATCCAAAATAGATTGCCATTGCATTTCAGAACGAGTAGCAATGGGTACGACGAGCTGTGTTCATTTGACAACAGTGACAAGACAAGACAACTAACTAGGCCTATCAGAACTCTAGTTGCCGCCATGTTGTCAGATCAAAGGCAATGTTGCCAGATGGTACAAGCATTTAATATATACATATAATACACATAAGGTGTATATAGTCAATGGTTTAACTCGCATTTTCTAACTCCAAATTGTGGCATAGCTTATAATTTTTTGTGAAAGTGTGGCATAGCTTATAACTGATTATAAGCTATGGAACAAATTCACGATTATAAGCTATGACATTATAAGATATGAGACCCCACGAACTGTTCAGCTAATTCAGGGCTTCATGGTGACTATTGTAGAAAGCCATTTAGCGATGTATTTTTATCGGTTTTTTTATGTTGTTTCTCTATGACTGAACTGAAACAGCTGTCACGAGTTTGCAAAAATGGCAAATGAATTGTTTAACCTATGTTTTGGTTTTTTGTTGTTTGTTTTGTTTTCTGTGCGTGCATAGTGAGTTTGAGTTGTTCAAAATGGATATATGATCTCCGACTCCGTTCTAGTGATGTGACGAACTCCATGACTTTTTTATATGATTCTTTAAGTAATTTAAGTGATATTGATGATGACAATATTGAAGATGACTTTGAGTTTATAACTCAAGCAATATGGAACATTCATTGTAGGCCTAGGCCTAGATGTACGAATTATGAATTCTTATGAAAAAAAACTCTGTGAACATTTTAGGCCTACCGGTACCTAAATTGGTGATTGTGCTCAATTAATTATTATTATCAATTAATTATTAATTTAATAAAATATGTTAAAATTCATGTCTTCTTGAAATAGCCCTATCTTATTTTTCCTTTTTGGCTAACCTAATCTATGTAACCTTAATAAATTCAATGCAGTTATCTTATTGTATTTAAAGATTAAATAAAGTTAGGCTTTATCATAAGTTCATAAGTTATATGTGTTATTAAATTAATTTTTAACAGGTATCGGTATCGAGTGCGGAATCGAGAATCGAAACCAAAGTTGTAGAATCGGAATCGGTATCGGAATCGACCAATTCAGGAATCGGCCCATCTCTATGTAGGACCATTAATTGTTGTATTTAAACAAAACAAAACCCATCCTGACCATAAGAGCATACTTTAAGAAACACTTATAAACAAAAAGTTATAAATGATCTTTTATGGGTTTTAATCTGTACATGATCTTGTAAACCCTTGTAAAACTTGAAAAATCAACCCCCCCTCCCCCAAAGGGGTGAAAAAAATTCCAACCCTTTTTTTGTTTCTATGGTTAGAGGTAATATCCAGAGGAATCAATATTTTTGGCTAATAATTAAAGATTTTAGCGAATTATCCATATAGGGATTAAGCTATCACCGTAGGTCTCATGGTAAGACCTAGACCCAGGACCGTTTTACTTTTTTGTAACAGGTCATTCCCCTATTGGGTCTGATGATGATGTGAGTGTCCAATCGAAATCGATCACCACTTACCATCTTTTTTGTATATTTACGGTCTTATGAATAACAGTATAAGCGTAAATATATGTTTTAAGTGTTATAAGAAGTTTCTTTTATTTACTTTCCGCTCAAAAAATCACAAATCAGACATTACTTTAAAAAATATTATCAAAATAATATAATATTATTATTGAGTTTATTTGTACTCTTTACTGTTGTGCTGAAAAAAAATAACAGAATGTAATGATAGTAATAAGTAGGGGAGCCATGTAAATACTTGATTTTAATTGTTTATTTTTGTTGGTATTTATTGGTGTGTGCTCGTTGTTTGAATACATCACCACCTGAAGCTTTAGGTAAGTTTTCTCTCAATGTGCATTATTCATTCAATGCAATAAGTATCTCGTTCAGTAACTTTATCCGTATTAGGTTGTTTATGCTGAAAAAGTGTAATTCTAGAAGCCTGTTGTCATTCTAGACAGAGGGATAAAACTAGTAAATGTTGATAGGCTACTAATTATTTTGTGTTGTAGGACGGAAGGTCGATGAATTGTTCATCCAAGAAGTCCCGAGACGCCACAGCTGGGGAGGGGGGCAGAGACAGTCTGGCGTACAACTGTCTGCTACGCAACGAACTTCTGGGAGCCAACATTGGGGCGGTCAAGGGTCCTTGTGATGAACGCCGTGCGGTATCATCACCTGAGCGGAACAATTTCTTCCATGTATGTATAAAAGCCATTGTATTGTTGTCGATACAGATTTTATACTGTTTTATACCTGACATGTGATGCCACTTGGGAGTCAAGTTTTGAAATACTATGCTGCTTTAACTTTGGATTAAGCATTGTTGTTAATGTGGAAGGTCTGATAAGTGGCTGGGCTGTTTAAAGGCATTGTCTCTCTAGTCTGGAGACTGTATTTTAAATTGAGGGCTCGAGTCCTGTCTTGCTCAGTAGACTGATGTGTGTTGAAGTTTACCTGACTGTGAGAGAGGGCGACCTAAAATTAATACAGTAGAACCTTGATTATCTGGGGTGATTGGGGGGGGGGGGGGGGGAGAACACGGATAACTGAAACCGGTTGATCCACATGACATAAAAAAAACCCATAAAAAGCCTAAAACTGTATATATGGCCATTAATGTGATCATTTGCATATTACATCATCAGAATACAATTGGTAGACTGTTGCACAATCATGACAATATGTTGTCATTGAACTTTGCTCATTAGCAAAAACTGCAGAGTATAAAATTAAGACTTACAAAAGTTGCTAAACACTGTACAGCAACAAATCACGAAAGGAACAGATTAATAAAAATTCTTGTACCTACTGCTAGTCATAGGCTATTGTTACATGCTGTTTCAAGACAGAAGAATGTTGTAATGTCGATAAAAACATTAATAACTCATAAAAGTTAAAACCAATAGTAGGCCTACTTAACAATAATAATAACAGTTGTAAAATAAGATATTCAACCCCACATTTCATAGGAACTAGGCTTTTTAATCTTCTACAAACAATCTAAAATCAATAACTGACACTAAACGTTTGATCAAATCACTAAAAAAATACCTTCAAGATAAACCATATCTCAACCTAAATGAATTTTATAATGGCCATAACTTCCTAAATAGGCCCTAAACAAAATGCTCACAGTAGGCCTACAGCATGAAGAAACAAAAAATTTGGACGATTCCCCGATATTGATGACTGTGGAGAAGACAAAATGAACTATGAACTTCTGTCTTCTGCTTGAAGATAGTGGAGCATTTGTAGTCGATGATTGCACCACTTTTCAGCTGACTATAGTGACGACAATTTAACCAACTAACACAGAAATAATCATCCTAGCCTACTATTGATAATATTTTATGATAAATATGCCCTTTCACATAGCCTTAAGTGAAATAATCATCATTGTTGACAATTTGAATTTTGTAAATGAGTAAATAAAAATATAATCCATTAACTTGGTACCGAATGTATCGGTACTGACATTTCACCATCGATTCTCGGTATTGGTACTTTTCCCAAGAACCGGTGGAACCGACATTTGACGTTAAGTACTTACCCATCACTAATGAAAGGTGTAATAAAATAAAAACTCATTTTTATTTTTATATTTTTTATTATTTGAAATTTCATCTCAGTTTGACATTCACCCTTACACATTGGAAACATGGTGATATCAGTTAAATTATAGTTCAACTTTGAAAAATGCCAAATTTATCAGTCTTAATGTTAAGTATCAAGTAACAATTTATCTGTCTTGTATTATATTTAGAATGATTTTGGAGTGACTTCTTTTGGCTATGTTTACAGTAGTAAAACATATCTCACACTGCTTACACTTAACAAAACTTCTCATCATTCGCGATGTCAAAACAAAAATGTATAAAACAATTAAAGCAATATTTACATGTAAAGAATTGATTAAATAAGAACGCATTCGCAAAGGAAACGCAACAACACGCTCCTGTACAGTAGACTCCTTATCGGGACCAAGGCCAGTCCAGATAACGGTTTTGCCGGTTAAGCCAATATCCCCATTAACTCGTTAAAACAGACCGTTTACGGTGATATTCGGCTTAAATTTAGGAGAGCATTGTATTTGGACATGTGATCACTGGTCTCAAATCTTTCCCACGAGAACAGTCGTTTCAGTACCGCCCACTTCCTACCAATCTAGTCCGGTTAAACCAATATGCTGATATTGTCCGGTCGAGATAAAGAGATGTCATTTCCGTCGAGTGTAGTCCGGTTAAACCGGTGTCCGGTTAAAAGGTGTCTACTGCATTGCGGGTATTAGGCCTACATTGACCTTCTGCAGGCGTTTTTTTTGTCTTGGAAAAATCTTGGTCAAAATTTAATTTAATTTCTCAAAGTTTTGAGATATATACATAGTAAGATTCAATATTAATAATATATATATACAGGGTGACAAAAAAGTCTGGACACGGCTTAATATCTTTTTAACTAAATTCGTTAGAAAATTCAAACCTTTCACATCAACTCATATGTATGAAAACTACTTTTTGCAAGCATTACAATTTGTTTACCTTCAGCAGGGGACGGCCCATGAGGAGTAGCTACATAATCTTTAATGTAAGCATAGGTTGATATGCACAAAGGACTGGCCAAGTGGAGTTCATTGCCGGAAACCGCGTCGAAAAAAGGTTCATCCGTTACAAAATGGCGGCAGCCCAAAGTTCTTGCGGAATATACCTGCACAGGCCTTAGTATTGGTACTCATAGTCAACATTAGCCGGGAAATCTGAAACCCAGTTAAATTTGGTTTGAAGATTGAATAAACTTAGTCTATAAGCCAGTTGACTCTAAAATACAATTTCAGCTCTCAAGCTAACGTTTAATACGGGTATTTACCAATACTAAGGCTTGTGCAGGTATATTTCGCAAGAACTTTGTACAGCCGCCATTTTATAACGGATGAACATTTTGAGACGCGGTTTCCGGCAATGAACTCCACTTGACTAACCCTTTAAAATCATGTGCATATCAACCTATGCGTACATTAAAGATTATGTACCTACTCCTCATAGGTTGTCTCCTGGTAGAGGTAAAAAAATGATAATGCTTGGGAATAGTAGTTTTCATTCATCTAAGTTGATGTGAAAGGTTTGAATTTTCTAACAGATTTAGTTAAAAAGATATTAAGCCGTTTCCAGACTTTTTTGTCATCCTGTATATATTGAGGGGTAGGTACTATTATTATTAGTAAATTAAATAAATAATTAAATATTTAGTACCCTTTAAGTTATTAATTTATTGACTAACATGTTTTAACTCTTAGGCAATGATCAAAGTTATGAACAAACAGTAAATAAACACAAACATGTAAATAGTTAATAATTAAATCATCATATGATTTTGGAATTTTGTCTTGTAACATAGGCGTTGTTTTCTTTTGATTTATTATACCAGTATAAGATTTTTTAGTATATTAGGTTTTCTTTTTGGATTTGCATTGTATTGGATATGTTTTCAGGATCTTTTTTTGATGGTTATATATGTAAAATTCCTCTTTAATGAATAATTTGTCTTTATTTGGTTCAAATTCAATTCCTAATAAATTATGTTCTATGTTTTGATATTTATGTTACGCTTTAGTAAGTGTTCTGCGTAGTTCGATTTCATAACTTTGTGTAGAATTTTCAGATTTAAATGCCGGTATATGTTCTTGGAATTTACATTTGAAGCTTCTACTAGTTTGGACAATATAATACTTGTTACAGTCTGTATAGGAAGTTTTGTAAATGCCGCTCTTTTTAAACTTTGATGATTCTACAGTTATTTGTTGATTTTTGGAAACTTTTGAATTTATAATTTTAAAAACATGGTTTTTTGTTCTTTAGCCTATGTTGCTTTGTAATTTGTTTCTGATATGGTTTACCTTATTGCTTTATTTAATTTAAAGTTATGAGGAAAACATGTGTATTCTTTTTTTCAATTTCTCTTCTTTTTTCTGTTGTTTCATAATTTTGTTCTTTATCATATTATCATAAGATTGTCTTGATATCCATTTTTGGCTGCAATATATTTTATTATCTTCTTTTCTTTATAAAAATTTGTTTTGTTTAGTGGCAGTGTAATTAGTCTATTATAGATCATAGAATGAAATGCTGCCATTCTGGTTGCCAAGGGTAGTTTGATGATTTTGTTATTATAAATTTAGTAGTGGTTGTTTTTTAAATATATCAAATGAGTGTTTTTCGTCAATTTTTGAGATTGGTACCAAAGGTTTGAATTATTAAACCATTTATTTATTAGACTAGGTATAGGTCAAAAAGTTAAATATTATATTGTTGGATGTTTCAGACTTAAAAGATATTTTTACTGGGTTCTTCTGTAATTTTCTTGACATTTTTCTTTGTCCCCAGTATTCTTCTCCAATTGAAAATGAGCAGAACATAGAGTCAGTGGCGCCTTACTCTTTGTCACCCGTCGGACCTCCGAGTCAGAAGTTGCTGCGATCTCCAAGAAAAGCAACGAGAAAGATTTCCAGAATTCCATTCAAGGTAAAACAACTCGGACTCTATCCTATACTCTTATTAGAGCTGTGCGAAGCAGCAAACATTTTTGATTTGAAGAAACAATTTGATTCAAAAGATTTTCGATTCAAATCGATGCAACTTGATTCGAAGCAACCACATTTTTCTATTCATAATAATTGTCAATGGAGTGAAATAACAATATTTAAAATTTACCACATTTGTTTCATACATAATATGACATGAATTTTAGGTGAAAAACACTTAATTTTCAATCATATATTGGAAGACCCTGTATTGCTGGAAATGTCAGTGCGAGCTGCTTTACTTGCCTATTTCATAACTTTTACTTTCAGAATCATATTGTTAAGCATGCTACCTATTTTATAATATAGATTTTACAAATAAAGATAAATATTTTGGTATAAACAAATAAAATCATTAAAAGATTTTGAGATGTGCGAGTACTTGAGATTTCGAGTTCCGAGTCGAGTATGGCCTTGATACTCGAGTTTACCTTTGAACTCGGCCTTTTCGAGTCGAGTATGGTTTAATCGTAAAAACTCAATATTTTCTAAAATGGAATTTGTGTTTTCATAAAATGCTGGATACAAATATTTCTACAGTATAGAATAAGCAAGAGTATAAGCAAGTTGTCGTTGTCCTAACCTATTTTTATAGCTGCCACAACAGAACAGACTCAAAGCAGTCTTCGTCTCGGTGACTGGCATAATGACTTGACACAGAATGACATGATCGGTAGTAATTTAGTTTTAATGTACTCAAATACTTAAATTATATCATCTATATATCAAAGCAACATTTGCATTTTACTATTTTACCTCAAAAATCACCGTCATAATAATTTTACACATCAACTCGAAACTAATCAGTCGAATGATACTTGTTAGTTTTTTGTTGCTACTGAAAAAATAGCGATGCAAATACAAGAACAAATTAAAATTAAAAGGTACAGCTAATTTGAACTAAGCAGCTAGTAAAAGCTGTGATACTCAATGAGAACTGTCTAAGTAGGATTGTTTACAAGCTAATTTGAACTAAGCAGCAACTAAAAGCTGTGATACTCAATGAGAACTGTCTAAGTAGGATTGTTTACAGTTACGTTTATGTTTTCAATTGAATGAATAATTTGTTAAATATTGTGCGAATATTTGTTGATTTATTTTTTTCTATGATTTAGGTGCAGTGGTAGAACATTATGGCTATGGTAGATGTGTTATACCCTTATACTATAGCATACAGTAAATTTAAAGAAACAAATTTAATTTTACCAAATTGTGTCCTTCCCCATTACAAAAGCAAAGCTTGAGTATAACTTCAATACACACTTTATACTTATTTGCCAACCCCGTACGAAGGACGGGTACTCTGCTAGTATAAACATGTATAAAAAACATGTAGCTGAAAACAGAACTCCAATTCTGTTTGGCACGGCTGGAAACAATTCAATTCAATTCAATTCAAAATGACTATTCATCTCTTATAAATAGAAATACAGTAGACTCCCTCCTATCCGGACTCCTTGGGACCGAGACCAGTCCGGATAACGGGTTTTCCGATTAAACCGACGTCCCCAAAAACTCGTTAAAACGGACCATTTAAATGCATACTGTATACAGTATTTGACTTAAATTTAGGAGAGCATTGTACACACGTGATCACTGGTTTCAAATCTTTCCCACGAGAACAGTTGTTTCAGTACCACCCACTTCCTGCCGATCTAGTCCGGTTATTCCGATGTACTGATAAAAATTGTCTGGTTAAAGAGATGTCATTTCCGTCGAGTGTAATCCGGTTAAACCGATGTCCGGTTAAAAGGTGTCCGGATAAGAGGGGAGTCTACTGTACATTGAATAGTGTCAACAGTTGCAAGTAATAGATATTAAATACATTTCTTACATAAAAAAATCACTAGCTTAAATTTTTTATAAGATAAAGGCAAAGCCAAACAAAATTAATACAATAATTGTAAATAACAAATACATATGTTGAATTTATTTTTAACGTCTAAGACTATTCAAAACTCTTCAAAAGAAAAAATAGCCTTGCTGATGAGATATTTTTAAAATTTATTTTTAAATATTGTTTTGGAAGTCTCTGATTTAATTTTTGATGATTATGTCCACATGACCGTGGGAAATATTTGTGATTTTGCAACGATCACGGGACTCGTGGATAATTTTTCCATGGCCACGGTAGACGATGGTGATTCTGTTTTTTTTTTCATATTTTATTTGCAAATTCAAATTCAAAGTTTTAAATTTGACAATTAGTTATAAACATAGGTTCTTAGAATTAACAATGCAAAAATTAATGTTACTTCCTATAACTCATCGAAAGAATAAATAGCTTTGTTGATGAGGTACTGCTTTAATTTAATTTTGAATATTTTACTTGATGCCTCATCTGTTATGCTTTTTGTAATTTTGTTATACAATTTTGAACTAGCATATTTAAGTTTCTTTTTAAAAAGTTCCAGAGCGTGAGAGCTTATTGCAATGCAGCCCCGGGATTTCTGGTGTTATATTCATGACTATTACCGATTAGCTCCAATTCCTGAAATCTTTTCTTTATGGATAAAACTGATTCAAAAACATACATTCCATAAACAGTCATGATGTTTTATAATTTAAAATATTCTTTAATTGAAGTTTTGGGTTGTAAATTAAAAATAATTCTACTAATGGCTTTTTGTTCATATACAATTTTACATGTGTTAGTACATACAGAATACAGTGTTGATACAGGATACAGTATTCAGGATTTTGTCTCAACCGCGAAGATGATATTTTCGCAGATTTTGCAGTGATCCCAGAAGTCGATGACAATTTCATTGAATTTAGTTGTTTATGCAGTTGATATGTTGCACTATTTTTCTTTGGGATTTTAATAAATATTGGTCCAGGTCATAAAAGAACTGCTCATCTCGATCTCAGTCAATAAGCCACTGAAGGTATCTCATTCCATTCTACTTCATATTTCACTCATATTGGGTTGAAGCGAAGCATATTCATCTAATAATACTAATAATACTAATGTGTGTTACAGGTTCTAGATGCACCGGAGCTACAAGATGACTTCTACCTGAACCTGGTAGACTGGTCATCACAGAACGTGTTGAGTGTAGGGCTGGGCAGTTGTGTATATCTGTGGTAATACTAATGTGTGTTACAGGTTCTAGATGCACCGGAGCTACAAGATGACTTCTACCTGAACCTGGTAGACTGGTCATCACAGAACGTGTTGAGTGTAGGGCTGGGCAGTTGTGTATATCTGTGGTAATACTAATGTGTTTTACAGGTCCTAGACGCACCGGAACTACAAGATGACTTCTACCTGAACCTGGTGGACTGGTCATCACAGAACGTGTTGAGTGTAGGGCTGGGCAGTTGTGTATATCTGTGGTAATACTAATGTGTTTAACAGGTCCTTGACGCACCGGAGCTACAAGATGACTTCTACCTGAACCTGGTAGACTGGTCATCACAGAACGTGTTGAGTGTAGGGCTGGGCAGTTGTGTATATCTGTGGTAATACTAATGTGTGTTACAGGTTCTAGATGCACCGGAGCTACAAGATGACTTCTACCTGAACCTGGTAGACTGGTCATCACAGAACGTGTTGAGTGTAGGGCTGGGCAGTTGTGTATATCTGTGGTAATACTAATGTGTTTTACAGGTCCTAGACGCACCGGAACTACAAGATGACTTCTACCTGAACCTGGTAGACTGGTCATCACAGAACGTGTTGAGTGTAGGGCTGGGCAGTTGTGTATATCTGTGGTAATACTAATGTGTGTTACAGGTTCTAGATGCACCGGAGCTACAAGATGACTTCTACCTGAACCTGGTAGACTGGTCATCACAGAACGTGTTGAGTGTAGGGCTGGGCAGTTGTGTATATCTGTGGTAATACTAATGTGTTTTACAGGTCCTAGACGCACCGGAACTACAAGATGACTTCTACCTGAACCTGGTAGACTGGTCATCGCAGTTGTGTATATCTGTGGTAATACTAATGTGTGTTACAGGTTCTAGATGCACCGGAGCTACAAGATGACTTCTACCTGAACCTGGTAGACTGGTCATCACAGAACGTGTTGAGTGTAGGGCTGGGCAGTTGTGTATATCTATGGTAATACTAATGTGTGTTACAGGTTCTAGACGCACCGGAGCTACAAGATGACTTCTACCTGAACCTGGTAGACTGGTCATCACAGAACGTGTTGAGTGTAGGGCTGGGCAGTTGTGTATATCTATAGTAATACTAATGTGTGTTACAGGTTCTAGATGCACCGGAGCTACAAGATGACTTCTACCTGAACCTGGTAGACTGGTCATCACAGAACGTGTTGAGTGTAGGGCTGGGCAGTTGTGTATATCTATGGTAATACTAATGTGTGTTACAGGTTCTAGACGCACCGGAGCTACAAGATGACTTCTACCTGAACCTGGTAGACTGGTCATCACAGAACGTGTTGAGTGTAGGGCTGGGCAGTTGTGTATATCTGTGGTAATACTAATGTGTGTTACAGGTTCTAGATGCACCGGAGCTACAAGATGACTTCTACCTGAACCTGGTAGACTGGTCATCACAGAACGTGTTGAGTGTAGGGCTGGGCAGTTGTGTGTACCTGTGGTAATACTAATGTGTGTTACAGGTTCTAGACGCACCGGAGCTACAAGATGACTTCTACCTGAACCTGGTAGACTGGTCATCACAGAACGTGTTGAGTGTAGGGCTGGGCAGCTGTGTATATCTGTGGTAATACTAATGTGTGTTACAGGTTCTAGACGCACCGGAGCTACAAGACGACTTCTACCTGAACCTGGTAGACTGGTCATCACAGAACGTGTTGAGTGTAGGGCTGGGCAGTTGTGTATATCTGTGGTCTGCTTGTACCAGCCAAGTCACTAGGCTGTGTGACCTGTCCAGTGACAACAACAGCGTCACCTCAGTTGCCTGGAGTGAAAGGGTAAGATTTGATAATCATTCAGATTGTGTGCAGCTTCAACTTTCTAATTCTACTTTTTTGGGCCTACAGTTAGATCACACTCTTAATTGGACAAAACATGTTGAAAAAGTATGTTTTAAAATTAGTACAGGTAATTTTGCATTGAGAAGACTCGCACCTTTTTGTATTAATTTGGACTCATTAAAATCAGTTTATAATTTGTCAATCCACTCACATATTCTCTATGGTATAGAACTTGGCGCAACATCAATTATAAATCTACAAAGTATCCTAAATTTTCAAAAAGTTGCAATTAGGATTATGCTTAAGCTTTCTGATGATGCTCATTGTAGAGATCATTTTTGTAATCTGAAAATTATGACTGTCTTTAGTCTTTATATTTATAGAACAGTATTAAATGTAAAAAATAATTAAGATACTTTGCCAAGACAACGCAATATTCACACATATAATGCAAGAAATCAGGAAAATATTCAAATTAATAACTCTAAAAATGAGGCTTAATTTCAAACAAAAATCCTACTGTTTCTGGGATAAACTATTATATGCTAACAACCTTCCCAAAATAATAAAATCTGAAAAGAGTTTTAAATGCTTTGAAAGGAAATTAAAAAGATTTCTTGTGAACAAGGCGCTATACAGTTTTCTACCTAGTTATTTCATAATTTATAGTGTATAGTTATGAACGCCACTCATGTATACTTTTGTATATTTGTGATTAAAGTATCTTTGAAGTAAATTGTTCCAGGTAACTAGCTTAAATGTCTCATAAACAATCTCATTTTATTACTTGCTATTTAAAAACTGTTGATACGTTTTTTTGTTCATGATACTTAATATTTATTCGGCTAGAGGTTAACTTTTAGCAAGGAATTCATTTTATTACTTGCTATTTAAAAACTGTTGATACGTTTTTTTGTTCATGATACTTAATATTCGGCTAGAGGTTAACTTTTAGCAAGGAATATGAGATAGTAAGTTTGTGTCAACATGAAGCATTTAATTTAAAATGTGATGTTTGTTCCAGGGTAACTACCTAGCCGTGGGGACACACAATGGGTATGTACAGGTGTGGGATGTGTCTGTCTCTAAGCAGATGAACGTGTTGAACGGCCACAGTGCCCGTGTTGGAGCTCTGGCTTGGAATGGAGACATGTTGAGCAGTGGCAGCCGTGACCGTATGATACTGCAGAGGGACGTGCGTGTGCCTGCACAAACTAGCGGTGATCGAAGACTTGTTGGACATCGTCAAGAGGTACAGAATACTACTCTGTACTCCCCTTCATTATGTCAGAAATAGAACCAAATTAGTTTTACAAAACCCGTAGATTCTAGGTTATCAGAAATTGGCAGAAAGGTGAAATGAAAAATAGTAAGGCTGTAGCTGCTAAAGGGGCCTAAGTCGAGATGGGCCCTTATAGATCAGACTAGCTGTTGGCCCGTCCTACGTATGGGAGTCAAGTTGTAATTAAAACTGAGCATGATTATAATTCAGAACAGCTAGTTTACACGCATAAAGAAACATTCTGGCAGTGGAACAATGAATACAAACCCTTTAATAAGTTTTTTTATTCATTGGTCTTAATAGAGAAAATCATTTTGTAAACAAATATCTTGTGACCACCTATTTCTTTCATCCGATTATAGGCCTATACGATATGCATTTTAAATTCGATAATTTTACAATAAAACAGAAATTGTGTCGATTTGAAAAGCCTTGAAGTGAGATTGGCGGTCGATTCACACACACACTGTTTTAAAGAAAGCACATCAGCTACATACCACCTTTAATTGCATATTATCACTTACCGTACCTTATTTTACCTCATTGGCAACTGAGACCTTAAGAGGATTTTGGCCTCCCATTCTCTTCTATCCCTTCCAATGTCTCTGCCAATGTTGATCCCAGTCTGGAGAAGTCTTTCATTTCTTGGACCTCCAAATGGTTGTCTTATTTCTGGTACTCTACTGTAAATTAATGTATCTTCTCTCCTCCACGCATATCTGGGTGTTTAAAAATTCCTCTTAGCTCTCTGTTCTTTCGTATCTCAACCTCAGTTATCATAAATGGTCCGTATATTTTCTCTGCACCCTGTTTGTCAAACCCAGCAATAAGGTTTTTCGGTTTTTTGATCATTGCCCAAGTTTCTTAACCAATTCTTAACCAATCTTAATCCAATTTGGTATCTACTGACACCCTGCAGCGTATTGGACAGTTTTGAATTACTAACCAAAAATTTGGTATGCCAACATAGTCCTGACATTATTAAATAAATCGTCCATACCTATCCTTTGTATCAATTTCACTCCATTAACTGCTAAGTAATTAGTAATCAGAGAAAAGTAAAAACAATAACAGATAGTTTGTTTTGAAACAGATGTTTAGGTAAAATAAAATTCATTTGAAAAAATAACTTGTCATCTGTGGAAGGAATTTGAAAAAGTAAACACTCTATTAAGCTAGTGACATGATTTGTCTATGTTTATTATCCATACCGTTATCCGTTCTAATATCTGTGACAATTACCCACTCTCATTGAATCTATGCCCATCCTAATTTCACATATTCATTTATTCTTAAAACTATAAGATATTTAGTTAAAAAATAAAGGTGATATTTTGCCTACATCAGCGCTCCCAAATGTAACCACACATGAACACACGCCAAACAACGTTTTAGATTTTCCAAAAGAATAGTAAGTCTACTTGCAGTATCATAGGTCAATGATACTGCTACTTTTGTGTAAAACTTAAGGATGGGTCCTTTGAGAGAATTGCTATTTTGCTTCCTCTGTCTTCTAGTATAATCTTTGATAGTTTGGAATGGTGTATTTCAGTTTGTTTTGGTTCGTATGACTCTTAAAGTCAGCTGGTGTCACCAGGGCCTTTAAGCATAGACGACTGCCAACGCAGACAGCCAAACATAACCTCTAAACTTTAACAGTGATTGTCTCAAAACGTCAGTTTTCAGGATAGGCCCATTTAGCAGCTACAACCTCAATTGTTGTTTTTGTTGTCATGGCCTACCTTTAGGCCCCAGGGCTAGGCTCAAGCTTAGAACCATTTGACACATTACTTCAGGATACATTTAGACGGGCGTGGCATTAACACATAGAAGCCATTGGTGATTGGGTTTGAACCTAAGACCCACGCTTTACCAACATCCCAGCTCGGTCCCTTATAAAAGTTAAAAATTATTTTTAACAACGTAGAATACTTGAAATATAGGTTTGTCATTCAATATGACATTATAAGTACATTAAACTTTTTAAAAAATATTTAAATTTGAGCAAAACATTAGTAATTATGTCTTTTGTTTTCCGGCTGTTTGACATTTTCTTGCTCGACAATCCTGCAATATCTTAAGAAGTAAAATATAGGTTTGCCATGTTTCCTCCATCTGCTCTGCTTATTTGAAAGCAATTTCCAAGTGAGACATTGGTTTTTTTCCCAGATCTGTGGATTAAAGTGGTCCCCTGACAACCAATACCTAGCTTCGGGTGGTAACGACAACCGCTTGTATGTGTGGAACATGCATTCTCTCACTCCCATGCAGACGTATACAGAGCATCTAGCCGCTGTCAAAGGTATGTCATATATAAATGTTATCCGAAAAATTATTTCTCCATCCGAAAAAGTCGGATATTTAACAGATTGTGTCAGGTATCTAATTGGGCTTGGGTCGGATACGGATATCCGAACCGAACCGAATCCGACCCGATTTTTCGGATATCCCCACATCCCTAGTCATTATTGCCATTGGCAGGAATTTTTACTCAGATTTACTAGATTTTTTAAACAACTTAAGTTTCTTTTTTTGGCTGAACAAGAAGAAACATCCCATCCCGTTTTAAACCAGAAAATCAAAAATCCTATCCCATTTGCTCTACAAAATACAATCCCATCCCTAATCACTATTTATTATCAGCTAAATTGTTTGGTTGTTGTAGCCATTGCCTGGTCGCCACATCATCACGGACTGCTGGCCAGTGGAGGAGGTACAGCTGACAGATGTATCAGGTTCTGGAACACCCTGACAGGCCAGCCCATGCAGTGTATAGACACAGGCTCCCAAGTGTGCAACCTGGCCTGGTCGAAGCACTCTTCTGAACTGGTCAGTACAGATCATAATCTATTATATATAATCCACTGGTAGGTCACGGGAGGAGACCAAACATTAAAAAAAATTTTATCAGGACTATCAGGATTTTTTAATACCGGAATGGTTAACTTAGCACCAGAATAGTACCAAGTGGTTAAGAAGGGACAGGGACAGGGCTGTGCATTAAAATATGTTTATAATATTCACTGTTTAACAAGATTTACTTGTTTTAGCTTTAAGTTCAAATTAGGATTTGAAAACACTAATTGTTTGTAAAATTTGTATTCCCTATTTGTATGTGTGGATTTGAATAGATTTGGACTCTTTGGCGTGAATTACGTACTACTCATATTGCGTTCAAGGAACATGTATTCAAAGTTTTTGTGACCGAAAATTTACTATATTGCCACTATACACAAAGAACCAACCTAGCCCATTTGTTTTTGGACGAATCTTGACGATGTGTAGATTATCATTATGTTAACACAAACGTGCAAGATGATTACCCCCACCACAATCTCAAACCCCACCGGGGCAACATTTTGTAAAGAAAAATAAAAATAAATTAAAAATTCTTTTCTGACTGAAATTCTCATCAAATAAAAATTTATTCACACCTCTATGTAATATAATTTAATATTCCATAAAGGTGTGAATATAACAAAAATTTGCCCCCTGGTGGGGTTTGTGATGAATTTAATTTACTTGAATTGAACTAATGAGGACATGTAACTACAGAGCAGTGCACAGTGGAATAAAAGATGTTAAGTGTGGGCCCTGTAATTAAATACCCCAGAAGTCCATTAAGGGGTAAATCATTAGGGGGTAATTGGGGGATCGGAGAGATCTGATTAGCTGTCCTCTTTCACACCTTCCTCAGCTTAAATCTAAACACTTCTTACAACTAATAGATGTGTTTATTTGAACACTCTATGAATGGAATGTTTGCTTTGGTGAAAGATTTCTGATAATGAATTGAGTACTCTGTAAAACTGTAATATTGCAAATAATAAAAAATATTGAAATGTTGAATGCAAATGTATTTAGGATATCAATTCATTAATGAAATATTTATCAAAAGTATGAACTCCAAGATGTTAATATACACTGGATTCGGTTAAGCCGATTACTCACAAATTCACCAACTTGATATTAATACAATGAGCTGAGCTTGTAAAACTTGCACTGTTAAAAAAATATTCATAAAATGTGATCATCAATATTCTTTGTGTACACTTTGTATACTTTGTTCAAGCCGATTACCTTTGAAATATACCAGTTTGATATTAATAATACTATCTGAAACACAGGCGAATGAAAAGATGAAGATTTGTAAAAATACTGTATAATGAATTGAAAATATGAGCTGTGATACAATAATAAATATAAAAAAACACAATAGCCTTTTATGCACTATAAATAATATTTTTGAAAGAGAGTGAGAGAGTTGATTATTCTGATTGAACTTGGGAGTTATTTCACCTAACAAAGCAAAGTCTCGGGAAACCTAGGTTTACTTTATTTAATGTATTTTTAGGCTACCAGGCTTTCCAAATAATATTTTATTAACAACTCGCCAGCTGAATGAACGATACAAAAGGGATATTTCGTGGATCTGTGAATGACTCACACCTTTTTGCTCAATGGCAAACTGGGCCAAATCGACTACTGAGTCGATTATTTGATTTGTGTTATTAAAAATGAATGTTTATGGCGTTAATGGAAGCCTATCCTCATAGCCTTTATTGCAACCCTATCCTTCTACCGAGACCATGCCCTGATTCGATGATTGAATTTATTCTACACGATCAAATACTCTCAGATTTAAAAAATGTGATACTCTGTTCAAAATTGTTACAATACAGGAAATACAAAATTTTAAGAATAGTAATACTGACGATGATAGAATTTGACCTTTACATAGAACACAAAAATAATACATCACAGATAATCATTGCTCTTAAAATTAGTAGGCTATTTCAATTCAATTTAATAAGTAATTTTCAATTGACTAGAATTACTATTGCAACTTAAATTCTTTGTATAACATGACAAAATTTAATGAAACATTTTATCCTGAATTTGTGACCATGTGCTTCGACATGCCAAATGAAACATGAAATATACGGACCAAATGAGACATGATTTCTAATTGGTAAAAATTGAATGCACATGTGAAAAAATGGCAGATTGGCGTACACAATCTGCCGCAATCACCGCGTTTTCCGGTGTAGGACTTATTAATTCTTGTTTTTTGAGCTGGCGTTTATTGATTCAATTGAAAATACCGTCACGACAATCTACGATTTGCTAGAAACTGACATTTTTGCTATCGATATGATGCATGTACGAATTTTCATCACGAACGCAAACAATCAATCCGTCATCTCAACTGTCTCGACTTAATACTAATAAAATCACACCCCCAAATGCAGTTCGGCAAAATTTTGACAATTGCGATCATTTGATGCACGTACAATTTTTACCCGAACGCGAATTTCCGAGCTACGAATTTAAGATATTAATAAAATTGCCCCACACCGGTGACAACACGATCTTGGATCTTGACGGTACGGCTATGAGACTACAAGTGGCGGCGAGACGATTGCACACGGCACGGTTCGAGTGCTTTTTCCACTTCGTATTCATCCGCGTTACGTCATGTTGGACTGACTTGTCCATTGCCTGGCGCAGATTTTAAATCTGCATTTAAAATCGGCACACTAGCTTCATACCCACCAGTTCCTGCCTGCCAGTGAATAGTGGTGGCCGTAAGTTGGCTTGGTTTAATTTAATTGGTTTGAAATTATAACAGTCACGTTTGTTTATTAAATTTACTGTATAATTTTAACGTCTTATTATTTCTTGGTTTTCGTCGTTTTGATACCCCGAGACTTGTTGTCTGAGTTCTAAACCCCGTCTTTGGCGGGTGAGAGAATCAAGTCTTGGGTGTGTTCAGATTTGAACAGTTAATTGCAAAGGATATTAGTTTTAAATTAATTTTAAACTGTATCACGTCAAATTCTTTGTTTAAATATATTATAATATAATTACCTCGTCACAGTTCTGAAGATCCCGTGTATTACGGCTGTTTCGGTGATAAGAAAGTTATATATTGGAAGACTAATTTAATTAGTTCAAACTGTACCAGTTTTGCCAGTCTCTTTCTTCTGAAGAAGCTCCTTGAATATCGAGGTATATCAGCAAAATATCAAGTTTATTGTATTGTGAACTTTTTGTCTGCTTTCAACTACATGGAACCTGAAAGTAAAAAAAAAGTCAAATAACAGTTACAGTTACACAGTTACAGTTACAGGATACACTTATACTGTTTACTCACAAGATGGTAAATACATAAAAGATGGTAAGTTGTGGTTAATTTTCGATTGGACACTCCAATCATCATCAGACCCAATAGGCGAATCCTGTGTATATTACTAAGCCAAGTGCTTTTTCCTCAAAAATATCAAAAATAAGAGAGATTTTTACCTTGTGCAGGTGAGCACTCACGGCTATTCACAGAACCAGATCCTGGTGTGGAAGTATCCTGCATTGACTCAAGTAGCCAAGCTGACTGGACACTCGTACCGTGTGCTCTACTTGGCAGTCAGTCCTGATGGAGAGGCCATCGTAACAGGTGCAGGCGACGAGACTCTACGCTTCTGGAACGTATTCTCCAAAGTCAGATCTCAGAAGGTAGGCTAAATGCACATTTCATATCTTATTGAATAATTGTGTTTGTTGTGATTTTGTCTAAGCAGTCTCGAGACCTAGAAGCATCAGTCCACCCAACGTGCTATCCTAAACTATTACAACTACCTATGCACCCTATTATCAGTTAGTTTTGATTTAAATATTTATACAAGTCAACAAACTGGATTGAGATTTGCTCAGGAAGAAATAATTTTTAAGGAAAGCCCATTTGCTTTTTTTATGTAGAGTTGAGCTAGCTTACCTGAGAAAGTTGTCCAGGACCTCTATTAGATACACAATAACATTCTCAAACGTCCAAACCATCTATTTCTTGTTTTTTGTACTCTTTCTCTTATGGTGCTTATGGTGTCTTCAACTACTATTTTCTGATTTCTTCATCCCTGACTCTATTCCACCATGTTTTACGCCTAATATCCCTTTCAAATCACTCTTTTTTATTCTGCTGCATACTTTTTCCTGTGTATTCTATACTTTTGCTTTATAAGTAGAGAATCTCAATTACATCGACACCTGCATACATCATTGGGCATGGATGGAGATCATGAATTTTCCCTTTGTACTGTAGTGTTATCGTAAGTTAAATTAAAATATAGTTTTAATAAGACAAATACTTTATTAGGTAGCTTTTAGAATAAATCAAGATTCCGAATGTTAACCAACAAAAACTAAACAAATAATATTCTAATACCATATGTTCTCAAACACATATGAATAACAACACATGTACATTCGAGTAAAAATCGTTTTTATAAACGTCTAATAACAACCAAGGCATAGGAAGGGTAGGTGTGTAAGAAAGGAAGGGAGCAAGGAATACTCATTGGGATATAAATAAAATGGATTGACAGTGATATTAGTTTGCAAATTATGTCTCTGATTGGTCAGATAAAAGTAGTAAAATTACTTGGGTGGATCAGATCTTTCTGCTCTTCCTGACCTGTCAACTAAGAAGAATTTCATACCATTTAATAACTTAAACAATGCTAAGAATTTCATACCATTTACTAACTTAAACAATGCTAGTACTAATGAAACCACTGCTAAATTAGTTTTAAGCTGTCAACAAGAAGAATTTCATACAATTTATTAAATTTAACAATGCTAGTAAAATCACTGCTTAAATTAGTGTTAAGCTTTTCAACGTGTTCCAAGCTTTACATCAAGATTACGTGTTTCAGTTTTTGGATGTTTCCATTAACTTATGCCTCCATTTATACTTTATGATAGAACACAAGGACCTAGGTTCCCAGGAATTTTGTTGGTATAGCAACTTACCTGCTATTATAGTGTCCATCCTGTTAAATAAAAGAGAACATTTACAATATAAAAAAAAATTAGAATATTTCACTGTCATTGACAGCTTTTTTTAACCTAAGGAGGTTTGAGTAAAAAAAAAATTAAAATGTGTCGGTTTTCAAAGTTGATTGTCAGTTTTTATTGGTTTTTGGAAGAAAAAAAAAACACAAACAAAAGCGATAATTTATGATAAATGTCTGTTTTGGTTGGATAGGTGACTTATGTCCTCACGGTTGCAGAGATGATTAAAACTCCGTCTGCAATAATCCCTGTAATGAGATAAACATACCATTCATTACCAACAATAAACCATACATAGAGAAAAATAAATATCTTTTGTGTGGCTTAGACTAACAAAACGTGTAAGTGGGTGGTAATTTTATTTATATAAACCCAAAAAAAATTGAAACCCGATTATACCAAAATAAAACCAATCCTAAACAAAACAAAAATTAAAACCACATCATAAAAACAAATTCTTATTCCCTTGTGTAGTGTTAAGTTTTTGTTTCTCTTTTGCCAGGAAGGGCATATTTGCGTGTTAGTTGAAGTTTCTTTTTGTTGAAATAAAGTACAATAAATTGTACCATGGATCTATATTTTTAATTTGATGTATCACTTTTTTCCTGTACATTCCAAAAAGACTTAACAAATGTGATTTGTTCCCAGGAAAGCAAATCAATGCTTAACCTCTTCACAAATATCCGATAAATCACCTAGTGAGAAACCAAATATTACTCTATGCAGCCTAGCTGTTTACGGATCAATGGACCAGCGACTGAATCACCTAGGGATCTTGGACTTCTCTAAGAATGTGATAAGAACTCACCATTAATCATTGTGTGATTGGTACTAATTCAAAATTATGTGTCAGATAACTATAATCAATTGAACAAGGTTGATTAATCAATAACTTTAATGTTATGTGTACATAGTTGTATGTAGAACTTTATATCAATACAAGACTTTAAAGCTTTGGTTTATGTATCTAGTATTTAAAGGGATGGACAGGCACTGAAATTTTGGGCAAAATATATCTAAATCTTCGCGCAGGCTTTCTTTTGATTAGAGATTTTCTCGGGACGGGATTTGTTCCAACTGTTAGTGATTTTGCTGTAATGGCAGGAAATGATCTGTCATAGCTGCTATGGCGGGTGACAACTGACAATGATGATGTCTCCGCAATTGCGGGGGATGGATCTTGACTTTGACACTATGCTGGGTGACCATGATAATGTACCTGTGGTTGCGGAAGATAATAATGATAGCGCCGTGATCATAGAACAGTGTAAATTAAAATAAAAATTGATTTGGTTTGCCAGTACTGTAATTTGCCATAACTTTTATTCTAGATTTATAAATCCAACTTAAGTTTCCCTAGCCGCACAGTAAGAAAAATCCCGTCCCTAGATTAGAAAGGGAATCAAAATTCCCCTGAACTAAAATTACGACCCCCGTCCATCCCTATTAATGAGGTAGGTAATTTTCTTTTTCTTCACTGGCATGAATTAATGATGAAAAACAAGGTTGGTAGGTTTATTCCTATATGACAAAACTAGGAATAAGTTGTTGAAATGAAAAAATTTCCTACAGACATGAATAATAAGTTGGTACGTGTAAGGTTTGGTTTGAGTATAGTTAAAACTTAGCCTTTGATACTAGTCTTTACCACAACATCCTCTTACAGTAGCCTACCTCATATCTGACACCTTACATTACCGGACATCGCTTTAACTATGTCTATGTCAAAACTTTGACATCCTTTTATCTGGCCACTTCAAATAACACATTGCTTTTAACCTTTTGTAATTGAACCGGAAGCTTTTGTGACAGTTGAAAATATTTTTGTGTGATAGTGGTACCATCACATTTGTATACCCAAACTAAACTGTGCAACTCCCTCACACCAGTTCCCATGGATATGCTTTTGGTTTTCACTTTTGGTTATTTGAAAACTATTTAATTGATGAACGAGTTTTAAAGCACATTGATTCATCTGGCCAATTTGTTATTTGTTCAAGTCCCCAATAAGATGTAGGCTACTGTATGATACTCTCTCAATGTGACACCTAATTTATTCATAGAAGATAATGAGGCGATGTGAATATAAAAGTAATGTTTGAGAAAAGGTTATAACAACCTTAATTTTAGTTTTGTCACCATGGAATTACAGTACTTTATTTGTGTAAATATAATGTAGTTTTGGTTACATCGGGCAAGGACTTTCTAGATAATAGACTTGTGATTTGTCTTTATGGCTGTCTTCTATTGTACAAAGTGTAAACTAGATAAAGATAATTGAGCAACAGTAAGTTAAAATCATTGACCGTGGTTACAATTATTAGTAAATTAAATAAACTAATGAAACAAACAAAAGTATGGGGTACCAAATATTTTGTCTTACAAATAAGGATTAGTTAGGAAAAAATTAATGAGTCATTAATTACTTTGTCTTCTTTCATCATTAGTTAGTGTTAGTTCAGTAGTACTCTGTTTGTACTTCCAACTTTGGTTTATGGTTTAAACCATTTTCACAGTTATTTTTTTACATTTGTTTCTGCCTTTATTCTGTTTTATACTATACAACCCTTTACTTATGTAGATAGACACTATATCGATTCTTATTTGAATCTTTCAGTATATATAAAAACTATATTCGTTGTTTTCTCTCAATAAGTTTTATATTTTGTTGTTTGTGTTCTTTGGGTTGTAGGATATTTTATCTCAAGACTTCTTTTAGCACTTTTAGTATATACCTACAAGTGAATCTATTTTATGCTTTCGTCACTGAAATATTAAATGTTACAGAAATACCAAAAACATCTCGAGCCTCGTAGTTATTCAAGTAAATGGGTTTTTGTGGTGCAAAATATGTATTAATTATGTAGAATCTTTCTACTTTAGACATTTAATACACTTAAGTTAAAAACTGTCTATTGCCACCATAATGTTAGTTTATTTATTAAATACACTTTTCTTTAAGTCACTAATAGTTTCAAAACATTTTTTTATACTTGTTGTAAATTCTACTATCCAATTGAACTTAGGTTGGTTTAGTAAAATGAAATAGTGTGATTGACATTATTTAATAAAGTCGAATAAAGCAGGTACTGGTAGAGTTTTTTATACCTTTTCCCAATGAAAAACGGTTTGTTTCGGTTGTTTTCTTAATTTAACGAGCAATCATACACATCTTACCGAAACCTTGACTCACGAATCTAGTGTAAGGGTGTGAAAAAATTTTTTGAACTATTTTTGGATAGCTATTATATAGGGATGGACGAGATTGGATTTTTAGTTCGAGACGAGACGAGACGAGATTTTTTATTTCTCATAAAATTTCGAGACGAGATCGAGACGGGATTTCCCTTCTCATACACAACAGGAAATGCACGTTCAAAATTTTTACCTGATTTTGTAACATTGTTAGATGACTGTTTAAATACAAAAATAATGATAATAGGCAAGAATATTTACAATCTTTTAAAACATCAGCATAACATTTTTTTATTAATCACGCCTAACTTATTAAAAATGCCTACGATTAGGAAACATAGTGATATCAGTTAGGATAGAGTTCGACTTAGGGTATCCTGAAATAAAATAAATCATAAAATAAAATCAATATTAATTTTTATAAAATAGTTACTTGTTTTGACTTTTTATGGTAATAAAACATTCCTCACACTGCTTACACTTAACAAAACTTCTCAAATGTTATTAAAATAATATTATTAAAATAATTAAAGTTTTATTTACATTTAAAGAATTAATTAAATAAGAACGCCTTCGCAAAGGAAACGCAACTACAACACGCTCCTGTATTGCGGGTATTGCATTGACTTTCTGCAGGCGTTTTTAATTTTTTTTTTTTTTTTTTTTTTTCTCGTCTCGATAAAAATCTCGGCCAAAAAGAAATCTCGTCTCGTGTAACGAGATTTTAAATTTCCCGAAAATTTCCCGAAATTTCGAGACTTGACCATCCCTACTATTATACAATTTCCAAGCAAGTTTTGAAATATTTTTTCCTACAGTACAAAGCAAGTTTTTCTTGCACTGATTAAAGCACACAAAGTATTCCAACCAAACAACACAAAACGGTACGCTTTTATTAGGCTTGTAATACGTGTACGCTTGAAAAAAAGTTGGCAACACTTAAAGATACTACGACTACAATCAGCTGGTGCAGGGCTCGTCTTTGACTATTGATACTACGAATTAACCTGTTGTTTTGTGTTAACATTCTATTTTCCTTCAACGCTTGGATTTAACGTAACCTAAAATATGTTGTTTAGTGTTTGAAATACTAATTATTTATATGCTTTATTTTATAGTAACTATAGGAAAATATAATGTGTAACACAAGTGCAAAGTGCCACTTAGTGCACTAGTTACACGAATTACTACTGGGACGGTGGCGTCGTCCTGTAATCCAACTTCTAGGAGGTCACAAATTGTGGATATTTATAGGCATGCACTGTGGATGCGATACTCCCTGGTGTGGATTAACATCCGCACTAGTGAGTACTACGACTATCCGCAGTACTATCCTGATAATTAGACCAATTTGTTAATACCAAGGCAAAAATGTGGTTTGGATTCCACTATAAACTGTATGTCCCTTAGTTGTCATTAGCTGTATGGGCTATTAATTAACAGCATTGTCTAAGAAATATGTCGGCCTTAGTCACTAACAATACTACAAGATCACCACACTCATCTCCATTCATACTTGGCTTAAAATACCTACTTTCGTATGATCCCCATTTGAATGAAAAGTATTAAAGTACAGGGTGCGGCAAAAAAACCGATCTATTTTCTGAAGAGCACTGTTCAGTGACATGTCGTCCGAGAGTGGTGGGAGTAGGTTCGTTGGAAAGCCTACACAATACAATTTTTTGTAGTCATAGAGCAGTGGTCGCCTGAGCTAGTGCGGTTGTTATGGAGTCACTATAAAATAGTGAATTCATTCATTGCTACTCTGCGGCAGTTTCATACATTCTTTCAATTAAGGCGACATGAAGAAATTCCGTTGCGTAGCACAATAATGTGGTGGGTTACTTACTTTAGGACAACGGCTTCTGCGTTGAAAAGGAAGCTGACAAGCCGTCCAAAGTCAGATCGGACACCATACAATTAACATTCGATAGAGTTCGTGCTGCTGTGGAAAACAGTCCCAGTAGGCCAGCCCGAAAACAAGCGGCTCCCTTGAACATGTCTGATCGCTCAGTTATACGAATTTTGAGGTTAATTATCATTCCTATGGATTAAAATAATACTCTGTATAACTTGGTAATCATTCATACAGATAATGACGACGGAACCTCTCTATGTCGACCTAATTGAATAAAAGCACGGAACTGCCGCTGAATTGCAATGACTAAATCATTACTTTTTAAAAACGACTCGATAACAACCGCATGTAGTTCATACGACCACTGCTCTATGACTACAAAAAATGGCATTGTATAGGCTTTCCAACGAGCCTACTTCCACCACCCTCAGACGACCTTTCGCTGAACAGTGCGCTGCAGAAAATGGATCGGGTTTTTTGCCGCACCCTGTATTAATTACTATTGTATTGTATTAACTTCTAGTGGTTCCCACTTAAGCTTTTGGTTGTATACAGAGTGTCTTGCAACCATATGAACAAACTTTGTGTCCTATCTCATTCTGTTTTATGTCTATTAGTCTGTATGTGATTTTTACAAAAACATTAACATTAAAGGGCTACAACATACTAAATTTTTTTCAAAATCGTTTGGTGCATTTTCGAGAAAATCAGATTTCCGTTATTTTACAGGGTTTTATGGGAAAATCCCCTTTAAAAATCAAAATAAAAAAAATTAAAAAAAGTTCAACATGCTAATTACCATCATATACTTAGTTCAATCAAAACCGGCTTTCTTTCTAAAATCCTTATTTTTGTTATTTTATGGAGTTTTTTATGGGAAAATAACATAATTTACAATAACTTTTGAACCAGAATTTTTACAGAAATGGGAGTCATACCACTTTGTTCAGAATTTAAAGGGCTACAACGCTACAACATACTAAATTTATTTCTATCAAAATCGTTGGGTGCATTTTTGAGAAAATCCGATTTTCTGTTAATTTACAGGGTTTTTGTAGGAAAATCCCTATTAACCCTTTCAGTGCTATGAAACGATATATCGTTGTTTTAAAAAATCTCTAAGGGATATAGAGAGGAAGGTTATTTTAACAAAAAGTAGCAAAACGGTCATTGGTGACCGTTCATAGGATACACTAACAACCACTTAGCTAAAAGATTCGCCCAATCCGATGATTTCGAGGTGTATGTCTAAACCAAGGATTATGAACATCTCTTATCTTATCTTATCTTATCTAACAGGGGCAGGTCGAGACCTTTAAGCACTTCATCCGAAATCGAATTATTGCGCACCCCAGACAATTGCTTTCTTGTTGACCTACAAGTTAAGGCGCCCAATGAATACCTGTAGCTTCCCAATTAGTTCATCCTCAGGAAGGTATCTACCTCTAGCCATATTTCCAAGAGTTATCAATCTAGCGTCAGAGAGCTCGTTACAATCAAAGAGTAAGTGATCAGCTGTCTCTTCTGACCTATCACAGTACCTACAGATCGGTTCACCATCATATAAGCCCATCCGTCGTAGATGTTTCCTGAATCTTCCATGACCAGTTATCAGTTCAACAATTAATTTAATTCTTCGTCTTTCTAGTCTCAAGAGGTCACAGGCAACCTTTTTAGAAGGCCTAATAGAGTAAGCTTGCTGATCCTGAGAAGGGGAACATCGACCCAGCGTTTGCGATGCTTTTCCTTGGCCCATGACGCAATCGCAGAACATGCACTGTTTCGTGAGATGCCACAGAAGGGTTATGGGCCTATCATTGATGTCGCAGAGGCAGTATTTGCCAATCTGTCTGCAGCTTCATTACCTTTAATGCCTGGGTGTCCTGGCACCCAGCAAAGCGTAAGGTCATTTCTCCTACCCAACTCAGACACAGAAGCAAGACAGTCCCACACGAGCCTAGAGTTGAATTCGTAAGAGTTTAATGCTTTTAAGGTCGCTTGACTATCAGTATAGATATTGATTGTTTTGTCTCTGATATCTCTGTTAAGATGTTCTCGAGCACAAACCAGAATGGCAGTGACCTCCGCTTGAAAGACAATTGGGTACACCCCCATTGGAAGACAAATGCCAGTGCCTCCATTTGTCCAATGCACACCTGCTCCAGTGCCCCCATTTTTGATCTTAGAACCATCAGTATAGCATTCTAAATCACCAGACCAATCCTTCCTATCTGGTATTAGTACTTTGAAAGGCTTTCCAAAGGAGTGAACACCTCACTATGCCCCAGTGGTTGTAGTATATCGCTACAAACACACTGGTCACCAATTTTTTGCCACACAGGACGGGATTCGAACCCGAGCAGACAAATGCCACTGACCAAGTGACACACGCCCTAGCCTTCTTGGCTATCTGTGCTTGAAGACTGAGGAGTCAAAAACCGGTATTTAAGCTGAAGTCACCGATGGCGAACAGATAGCGCTACAGATGGTTGTTCAATGCGTTACTAGGTAGCAGCACCAGTTAGTCACGGACTATTTAGATGATATTTTTTAGTTGAAACACAACAGTGATCATAAATGTGTTCCTGAGACTTTGCTGCAAAACATTGGTTTCCCTAAAATGGCTATATTACGATAACCTCGTCCAACTAAATCAAAGTTAAATTCAATATTACATTGTAAACTATGTCTTTTGATTTTATGAGATTTTGGTTTCAAACAATGCTATCAGAACATAAAAATTTATAGGAAAACCAGGAAAATTAAAACAAAAACTAAGTTTTATTTAATGTTTACTACAAATACCGGGATTTATCTTTGTTATATATTTTTTTATTGTCTTACTATTCAAACTTAGCCCAATTAATAAAAGTACCTGAGGACCGAGCTTTGTTCGGGTATCGGGTAAAATCATTATTTTACTATGAAAGCAGTCTTAGTATTGCAGATACATTAATCCATTCCCAAACTCCACACTGTTCGCCTTTACTACTTCATTCACCACTTCCTACGTCGTGGGCCTGTTTCCTTCCCT